TCCTCCTCATCGGACTCCAGGGATGGGTAAACTGAAAAAATCATTTTATAACCATAGTTTAGTATTAGTTTAATCAATTAAAGCTCTTAAAAGTAATTTGATTGATTTGTACAGCAGCAAGAATGAGTCATTGAGTGTATTGCTCACCATAGTCTGAATCCTTAAACAGGTTCCCAGAGTCTCTTGCTCATCTGGGCTATCATCGTCGCTAAGGTGACGGGCTGGCCGTTTAATAGGCCGTTTTCCAGGTCGCTGGATGACGGGTTTCTTCTCAGTACTGGTGGTCTTTTTGACCCCTCCAGTGACCCATACAGCCCTGCCACCCTTTTCCTTGACTTTCCCTAATCCCTCTGTCAAGCCTCCAGAAATTGATAAAGGAGAGGAGGACGAAGAAGATGAGGATGAGGAGGGAGGGTTGGCCATGGACAGCATACCCTGAATTGCATCCCGGGTACTGGGAGAAGCCGGCGCTTCCTCACTGATAGAAAAACAGAGTTGAACATTGACTCACCATTTTAAAAATAACCTGTACAAAGCGTCAGCTCAGAACTATTACAAGTATGTGAAATATGCCTGTTTAAAAGGTTAATGCATTCTTGCAACTACAGAGGGAGACATTTGTTCCCTAGTCTGTCCAAGCATCAGAAGTGTGTTTCAAATCCATAGCTTCAAACATTATGAAATCCAAATAAAATGTTGTATCTGAACACAAAAGTAGACTCCAAAGTAAATACCAAAACAGACTCTTCCTACATTTCAGTGTTAAATAAACACAACAGCATAATTACTGATGATCAAAGATATCTCACCTGAGTGTTGCTGAGTCCAACCCAGCTACTTGTTTGCTGGCCTTCAACAAATCAAGAATTCCCCCTGCACCACCCTTCACTCCATGAGCAGCAAGTGCCTCTTCATCCGTGGTGTAATCCTCCTGAATTCACATGCACGAATATGCTATCATTACCAATGAACAGGTGAGGTATTGAATGATATATAACAGGTTACAACAAACAAACTGGTGGGAAGAGGAGTATCTGGTACATTACCAGTCTACTGTTAAAAACAGATGATTAATACAGCAGGATTTGATTACAAATAAAAAAACGACTGATTCCACTACAAAGAAGGAAATGTTTCTACAGTAAAAAGGGTAAAGCTCTGTAAATGTTTAAACAGGTTATTATTAGTGAAAGAACATGAATTACTGTTAGTCCATTACTGACAAGCTTTTTTCTTTACTGTTCTGTTGGGTATAGTAACAAACTGCTGTAAGGTCAATTCTTTTAAGATCTTTGACATCTTCCTTACATCTAAAACTGACTACTGCAGTTTATGCTGGCATATTTAATAGGTGAAAAACAAAAAGACTTTTGCACAGAGTATCTTACCTCAATGTCAAAGTCGACCTCTCCAGGCTCCCTGATACGATAGGGGTCAGAGCAGGGTTTGGCTCTGGGCAGCTTCCGTGGAAGACCTGATGGCAAATTTGAAGACAAGATACAGCAACAAGATGGTTTTGAATCCACACTATTAAACTGTATTAGGTACGATCTTTAGTTCACAATTCAAGCATTCAGATGTGTCTGCTCCTCATATATACTTCAGTGAGCCGCCCACGTAAATTCTATATGTGTCAACTTTTCAGGTCAATACATTTAAAAATGTTCGATAAATCCTGAAGAATTAAATCCCTGAGACATAATATTTTTATTTAAAGTCAATCTTACCACTTAGTTTTTTTTTCTTATTAGTTCCAGTGGGCTTGCGCCTTGGAGGAGGAGTCTCATCAATCTGCAGCTCATCCTCAGACTCCAAGTCAGACAGACTGGATCCCTCCATGGCAAGATGTTTGTACTTTCCAACACTTCCTGCTCCATTTCTGCTGCCATCCTTTTTACTAAAAACAGATTATCGGTAGGTAAGAAATCTTTGATAGGTTCTATAGAGCACAAAAATAAAAGGGAAGAAAGAAAATCTGCAAAGCTTACCCTTGGATTTTCCCATTGGTCAGGACAAGTTTCAGTTTGCTTTTATTAAGCTTCCCTTCAAACTCCTCTAAAGGCAGCTCCAACTAGTGGGACAAATTGGAATTGCAAGCAAAGATGAAGATAAAAGATTTAAAAAAGGTGGATAAGCATTGCTACTTTTACACAAATGACTGCACACAATGTACCTTGTTCTTGTTCTTTGATTTTCCAGGTTGAAATTTTTTAAGTGTATGTTTGGTGTGGATTTCAATGAGATCTAGTTCGCCTGGTTCAGCCTTAAGCAGTCCCTTCTGGTTCTTCTTCTTGGTTCCAGGGGGCCCAAGACCCCCTATGACCTCCTTAGGCTTGGGTCCCTTCTTTTTCCCAGGGGGGCGTCCTGAATTCTGTGAGGGGGTCAAGGGAGCTTTGGAGAGTGGTGAGCCAGGAAACTGGGGCCCAGTGCGGCCGATGTTTTGCTGAAAGATGTCCTATTAAAAAGAGAAAGTGATATTTGCTTGTAAAAAAGAAACATAAATAGTAATATTTCCGTATGGCCATATAAAACATTTAAACAAAGCTAACACATGATTACACTTTGTAATATTACCTCAACCAGACGAATCTCCTTGGCCAGGTCCTTCACTAATGTCTGAGTATTGATGCTTTCTGGAATTTCCACTTCATGCTCTCCTAAAGCCTGAGTGTGGGGAGAAAAGATCAATCATCTCAAATTATATATTTTTAATAATTTTGATATGTGCTTTAGCCCTTTTAAAATGTAATACTTTGGGGTACTGATTTTCATAAAACAATGATTGATGTAGTAATAACAATTTGGTGTTGCACCTCTGCTCTGTTTGTTGGACTTTTCATCCTGTATAAACTAAGTTATGATGCAATAAAGAGGGTAAACTAATACATGCAAAGGTTGATTTAAAGTAACTGAATACCATTTGTCCTACCTCTTTACGGGTCCAGCCACGGAAGGCATTATTCAGGGCCTTAGCTCCATGGACCAGGTATGTGGCAGGGTGTCTGCGGTTTTCTCTTAGACCTACAAGAAAGAATAGCAAATTGAAAACACTAACTTCTGTCCACTCCAATTGTTGCATAAGACAAAACCATAATATTCCAACCATCGTTGAACTCTCGTACCTCTAAAGGTGTCCAGGAGATGCTTTCCAACATACCAGCACACTGTCTCAAAGTTAGGAAACCTGAACAAGTCTGCTGTGCTTAACCTCTTCTCTATTTCATATGCCCTATAAAAGACAACAAAGCAAAGGAAAAGTTAGACATACATGACAACACATATAGAAATGACCTTTGCAGAGATGTGATAAATAGAACTAGCCATCTTTGACTTGATGACCCTAAGAAATGTAAGCCTAGGGAATAAATGACAATAATTTAGCAACTAAGATTTTCTTTGGCAGATTTATGTTTGAGTTTCCACAGTAGCTCAAAGGTTATGAAAATGTGAAAAATAAAAAAATGGCCAGGGTAAGGAGTCGATGGCATTGGGACATAACACCACAGACATTTGTCTGTCTCTGAAGAAGCAATGACTTTCCACAGTTGTGTCTGTAACAGGTCAATTTGAAGCTTTTAGCATTCAACTTCAGTAAAACAAACAATTAGTAGGTGTAAAATGTTGTCTTAATTTCACACCCTTCTATCTCGCTCAGAAGTTCTTCCCTTTTGTCATTTAAATCACAAACAAGTAGCATTACTTTAGTTATTGTCCTAATAAAACTAACCGCAGCTGCATGTCAATGTTGAGACTGTGTAAGAAGTTTCCTCCAAATGCCAGACAATCCACTGGAGTCAGCACAGAATGAATCCACCCTGGTAGACAAAAAATAAATGACGAGGGATTCAAAGATGTATTAGTTTGATTGTTTCAACTCTAAAAACCATTTATTTTTAACAAAACATGTACAGCTTACCTGTTGGTATAAACAAGGTGTTCCCTTGTTTGACAGAGCATCTGTAACACATATCAACCTGGTCTCCAAAGAACATTTCATTCTGGTTCGATGAGGAACTCCACCGCTCAAAAAGCGCCAGGTTAGCTTGGGTTGGGGAAATTAGGTAGAAGATCTTCTCACCCTAAATAGAAAGAGAGATCAAATTCTTATTAGAAAATGTCAATTCTAGAATAAAGAAAGAAAATTTGGTTGTGATTTGAGTTTAAAGGAAACTTCAATATCATGAATGAAAAGAAAATCCTCTTACTCTCAGGACATGGTACCATACTGAGGTGCCTCCAAAGTCAATGTGAAAGTCTGTGTAGCTGTCCTTCACGCCCATTAGGCAGTACTTCTGCACATTGGGGCGTTCAAATACGGACTCTTCAGGCCAAAGGTTTTCCACCCATGACAGTTTCCTCACAATCTTTGGAGTTTCCACCAAGTTTGAAAGCCTAAAAAAATCCCACAGTTGTCCTTCATATTTAAAATACCAGATAATAACACCACAACCTCCCTTGACCAATAGAGTCATTTCCTTTGTAGAGATCACCTGAATCTGACGCAATACTGACAGGCAACATATGAAAAAAAGACACTGCATCAGAGTGTCAAGCTGAAGAGTCAAAAAGCGCAGTACCTGGTCTCAGAAAACTCCAGGCTGATAACATTGAGCACTCGGTCTCTGTTGGGGCTGTTGTAGTATTCAACAAAGTCTCCCAGCCGCATCTTCATATCACTTTGGCGAGACACATCAATAACATCAATCTCTTTGTCTGAACCTGGATTTAGACAAAAAATGTAAAAGTTTGAGAAAAGCGTTGATGACTTATTCGTCATGTCCTACACAACAAAGAAGATACACTGCAAGTTCCACAACACATATTTATTGTCTTTAAGAATGGTCAAGTAAGATTGTTTCAACCAAAATGTGTCAAAACTTACCAATATAGTGCTCCACATCATTGACGCCAAATGATGCAGGAGGGAGGGTCATGCCAAGGCCATCTCGCCTCAACACCATGACAGGAACACTGAAGGAATGCTCTTCCAGAAACTCAACTGTCAGTTGGGCCCCAGATGGCTTTAGCAAGACTTCATCCGCACTGTCGTATAAGAGCAAACAGACACATACATGAGTTTTGCTTTGTGATTACAGACAGAAAAAATTAACATGATTTACAATTAAGTTACAGTAAGAGATAGGGTCTCCAAAAAATCCAAGAACAGAAACACATACCGATAATACTAAAAAATGCTGTATTCATAATAAAGTAATGCCAGTACAATATCAAATCAACAATACGACAATACGACAATACAACGCAACCAGTTACAAGAACAAAGTTTATGATATACACTTTACCAAGTACTTAATTCAATGGAAATCAGAGTTTAATATTCTTAGATTTAAAAAATGTGTCTTTTAATGATTATGGGAGAGAATTACTTTGGGAAGGTGCGGCTCCGTAGCTCCCTTACAAACTGTACGCTGCCGGTTTTGACAGGCCGACTTGGATCTCTTGCTCCAGCAGCAGCACCATCTGTCTGCTTACTGCCTCCGCGGCGTTTGCGCACTGAGGAAAGCAAAGGCAGAACCCGGAAAGTGTAAAACTCAAGCAACAAGATCAAAACAAGTTATAAAAGGGATACTTAACAAATGGTTACTTACTAACAGATGGCCCATGTGTGACCTGACAGTTTGGGCAGTGATAAAGGTCAATTTCAGCGGCTTTGTCCTCTTCTACTCCAACACAGCTACACAGTAAGATTAAGATTAACTTTATTGATCCCACAAGGGGAAATTCTGTTTTTACACTCTGTAGTCATGCAACACACACATAGGCTGAAATATACACACATGCACAAACAGGATCCTATGGACATGCACTAATGGAGAGATGTCAGAGTGCAGGCAGGCGGGTTTGGTGCTCAAGGGCACCTCTGCAGTGCTCAGGAGGCGATCTGGCACCTCTCCAGCTACCAGACCAACTTCCATATTTGGTTCGGGACTTGAACCGGCGACCCTCCGGTTCCCAACCTAAGTCCCTACAAACTGAGCTACTGCCGCCCCATAAACATACTTGTATCACAATATGCAAAAGTCAGCTAAGCTGCTGTGATATTATGTATACAGTATATATCTCACAGGAACCATGCAACAGAGACGACTGATTTAAGCATTCTTTAAATTCAATTTGCATAAAAGCATTAAATACAGACAAAAAGCACGATCAATGATCCAAGACAGAAAATAACTTACCTTCCATGAAACCAGTCTTGACAGATGTCACACTCTATCATGAAGCGTGTCACATCGTACGGCAGGCGACACAAGCAGTACACTGGCACTGATGCCATATTGAGAATGTGTTTTTTTCTGAACTAACTTTCAGTGATGGATGTCAAGATGTTAAAAAAAAAAAAAAAAAATCAAGTGACAAAATACTAAAGGCTTGATTAACTCAGTAGTAATGTCAATCTAATTATTTAACTGAACTGTTTAGTCTATCACTGCACTTGTAGATTCCTGACACACATGTCCGCCGGGATTCACTTTGAAGCCTGTAGAAAAGTGGAAGAAAAAACAAATGTTGATGGTTTCCCGTTTGGCACGAAAAGTATCGACAAGTAGATGATGTTAGTACCCGGGAACCTGTCGCTGAAACATGCTCACAATATCAGTCAAAGAGCTAACTAACTAAAACGAACATAGTCGTTTAGTATCATCACAAATATAATATAATTGACACGATACACCATATATAATATTATCACAACAAATAATTGCAGAGTCAAAAAAAACCTTACCGTTATATGCTTACAATACTTTTTGGTCATAAATATGTCCTGTTTTTTTATTTATTTTTTTACAGTAAGCAGAAAGCGAACTATCAGGTCATAACATTAGCTCGCTGTTTGTAAACATGCTATACTCGTGAATGTTGCATTGCTAGCAAAACACTTACTCGTTTAGCGAGTGTGCTAACGTTAGCCACGTTAGCTAAATAAGCAAAGGAGATGTAAAGTTTAACTTCCACATGAAACACTTCCTGCATTTTGTTTTTGTTTTAGCCCTTTAAATAAAGTACACGTATATCCGTTACAGCTTACTAATTTTAGTCACACTAACAAATATGGTTCGCTTGCAAAATTGATATATAGCGCTAGGTACTCACCGACATCTTGCTGCGGTAGGCCAAGCATCCAAACGCCGCTGTGATCCCTACGCAAGCTCGCTGGTAGCTGCGGCCTTATTATGCAACGTAAATTAAAGAGAATTTGTTGTGCCACATTTTTTGTTTATAAAAAAAACTATGTTGTGCCCGGATACATAGGCCAGGCCTTGAATTTCACACTGGACCAGAAAAAAATAAACCTGAAGAGAACTGTACGAGCACAATAACTACAAATGACGGCGTAATAAACTACATCAACGCCATTTCAAAGGCTGGTAGCGTCAGACCGTTGTTCGTCGCTTTTGTTGCTGTTGACAGAACAATAAAGTTGGAGACAGTCAAAATGCGGAGTTGCATTCAGGAAAAGAACGTTGCGGAGCGTTCTTTCGACAGCAAAGTTACAGAAATTGTTCCATTGCTCTGCAGGATCCGGGACATTTTTTATATGAGAAGTTATAGAAGTACATAAATAATCACGCAAGTATACTTTTATAAAAAATACACATTTAAGGCAAGTTTGGCAAGTTTATTTATAGAGCACATTTCAACAACAAGGCAATTCAAAGTGCTTCACACAAGACATCAAAAGCATCATGACAGAGGAATAGAAAAGAAACATTAAAACAGAACATTTAAAAATCACTGAAATTATGTGAACATATTTTCAAATAAAAATAATTCAAATTAAATTAATTGAAATAAATAAAGTAAAAATATAAAAACAGTTAAAAAAGTTACTGTGCAGAGTTAAAATTTAAAATTTAATGAAAGGCAGCTGTAAACAGGTGTGTCTTCAACCTCGATTTAAAAGAGCTGAGAGTTTCAGCAGACCTGCAGTTTTCTGGGAGTTTGTTCCAGATATAAGGAGCATAGAAACTGAACGCTGCTTCTCCATATTTGGTTCTGACTCTGGGGACAGAGAGCAGACCTGTCCCAGAAGACCTGAGCAGTCTGGATGGTTCGTAATTAATCAGGAGGTCACTAATGTAGTTTGGCCATAAACCTTGAAGCGCTTTATAAACCAGCAGCAGGATTTTAAAGTCTGTTCTCTGACAGACTGGGAGCCAGTGTAAGGACCTCAGAACTAGACTGATGTGATCCATTTTCTTGGTTTTGGTGAGGACTCTAGCAGCAGCATTCTGGATCAGCTGCAGTTGTCTGACTGATTTTTTAGGCAGACCTGTAAAGAGACTGTTGCAGTAATCAAGATGACTGAAGATAAAAGCATGGACAGGTTTTTCCAGGTCCTGCTGGAACATAAGTCCTCTAATTCTTGATGTGTTCTTCAGGTGATAGTAGGCTGATTTTGTAATTGTCTTAATGTGGCTTTTAAAATTGAGGTCTGAGTCCATCACTACGCTCAGATTTCTTGCCTGGTCTGTGGTTTTAAATCTTACTGACTGAAGCTGATTGCTGACTCTTCGCTCCTCCTTTGCTCCAAAAACAACAACCTCAGTTTTCTCTTTGTTTAGCTGGAGAAAAATTTTGCACATTCACTCATTGATTTGCTCTGTGCATTTACCCAGTGCTTTTATGGGACCATGGTTGCCTGGCGACATTGTAATATATATTTGTGTGTCGTCTGCGTAGTTATGATAACTTAATATACTGTTTTTTTATAATCGGAGCTGGTGGGAGCATGTAGAGGTTGAACAGAAGAGGCCCCAGGATGGAACCTTTGGGAACTCCACAAGTCATTTTTGTTTGCTCAGATTTGAAGTTACTATTGACACGAAGAAGTCCCTGTCCTTTAAGTAGGATTCAAACCACTTTAGTGCTGTGCCAGAAACTCCCACCAAGTTTTCCAGTCGGTCGAGTAATATATTTTGGTCAACTGTGTTGAACGCAGCACTGACATCAAGTAAAACTAAGACTGAGATTCTGCCACTGTCTGTGTTTAAACAGATGTCATTAAACACTTTAACCAGAGCTGTCTCAGTGCTGGGATTTTGTCTAAAACCTGACTGGAAGACATCGAAACAGTCGCTCAACGTCAACAAGTTATTTAACTGTTGAAAAACAGCTTTTTCTATTATTTTACTTAAAAAAGGAAAATTTGATATAGGCCTGTAATTGTTCATTATTTACTTGTCTAGATTGTTCTTTTTTAATAGTGGCTTGATGACTGCTGTTTTCAGGGCCTGTGGGAAGACACCTGAGAGAAGAGACAGGTTTACAATTTGTAACAGATCTGGAGCCATGACTTCGGAAACTTTTTTGAAAAAACCTGTTTGCAGAATATCAAGACAGCAGGAGGAGGAATTTAATTGTTGTATAATGTCCTCCAGGTTTTTAAGATTGATTTGATTAAATTGTGTCATGGGGCTTATGTTGGTTTTAAATGGACACTGCACATATCCTGATCCTGATGATGAGTTACTGACAGTTTGTCTAATTTTCTGGACTTTTTCAGTAAAGAAGGTGGAAAATGTATTACAGGCCCTGGTAAAATGAAATTCAGATGCTATTGACACAGGAGGGTTTGTTAGCCTGTCGACAGAAGCAAACAGGGCATGAGCATTATTATTGTTTCTGGTGATGATGTCAGAGAAGAAAGATTGCCTTGCATTCCTCAGTTGTGAATTATAAATGTGAAGTCTCTCTTTGTAGATGTCATAATGAATCTGGAGATTAGTTTTACGCCACCTGCGTTCAGCTTTTCGACAATCTCTTTTTCCGTTTCTTACCAGTGTCGAATTTCTCCATGGAGATTTTTTTCTTACCAGAGACAACCTTCACCTTAGTGGGAGCAATGGAATCAATAACATTTGTGATTTTAGAATTGAAGTTATCTACCAACTCACTGACTGAGCCCCAGGAAAGGGCAGCTGTGGAAGAGAAAACCTGGTTAAATATTTCACTGGTGTTTTCAGTGATACACCGTTTTGTGATCACTTTTGTTTGAATACTTTTGTACACTGACATAGTATTCTCAAATAAAACACAGGAGTGATCAGAGAGGGCAACATCTGAAACAACAACCTTGGAGATGTCCAAGCCCTTGGAAATGATTAAGTCCAGAGTGTGCCCTCTGTTGTGTGTGGGCTCTGTCACGTGCTGAGTCAGCCCAAAGCTATCAAGAGTGTGAAACAGTTCTTTAGTCCCTCTGTCCTGGGGGTTATCAACATGGATGTTAAAATCACCAATAATAATAACAAAGTCAAAGTCAATACAGATCACAGACAGCAGTTCAGTGAAATCATCGAAAAAGTTTGCACACTATTTAGGTGGCCTGTAAATATTTAGGAACATGGCTCTGGGGGTGGACTGAAGGGCCACATATTCAAAAGAAGCAACATTTCCAAAAGATTATTGTTTACATTGGAAGGAGCCATTAAACAAAACTGCAACTCCTCCTCCTCTCTTATGCACTCTGGCCTCGCTTACAAAACTGAAGTCGGGAGGGGTTGACTCGATAAGAACAGCTGCACTGTTATTTTGATCTAACCAAGTTTCAGTTAAAAACATAAAATCAAGCTTGTGCTCAATAATAAAATCATTGATTAAAAATGATTTCCCTGCCAGTGATCTAATGTTTAGTAGAGCCAGCTTTAGGGTCCTAGAAGCTTCATCTGCTAATGTTTTTGGGACAGGTTGTGGCTCAAAAGGAATGGATGTCAAGTTTGACAAGTTTGCAAAATCACATAACTGCCTTTTGTTACTTGGCAGAGTCCCCTTTATTCTTCTATTACCTATCAACACAGAGATTTTTGAACCTACTTACATGCAGGGCCACGGCTTATCCTGGAGAGAGTCATGACTGCTGATATCCTTGCAGCCTGGACCCAAAACACATCAGTTTGAACCTCTGAACGTTCTGCATTTCATCCTTATCAAGCTGAGGAGACAAAACATGACATACCCGCAGAGGGAAAGGGAGGGGGGGGGGGGGGGGTAAGACACAACAATGGCATTTATCCTTGCCTTTGTTGTAATCCTAGGATTTTTACATCAGTTTTCTTTCTTTGAAAAACCACTCCGAAGTTGTATGTCTTTAGTAATGACTATGTTTAGGTGTAAGTAATACTATGTAAGCAATGTAGTCTTTCGCTATTACCTTAGACTGTAAATATTACCTAACGAAGCTATTTGAGGTAATATTTATAAAATGTTGAAAACATGTTGAACACATTTATTTAATATACTAATTTTGAAAACATAATTTTTACTTTACTTATATTAATATAGTAATCTAATTTAAATTGTATAATTCCCGGATCAGTTAGTATTGGTCATCTTAGGCCTTTGCATATACAGTTACATAAATCCTGTTGGCCTTAAATGGAGGGAAATCTTTTCAAATGTAGATAGTATGTTATGTTTGAGAAGACACAGTTCATAGTAAACTTTATTTATATAAGTCTGAATTAAAGAGATACATGAATGTTGGTGTTGTGATGAAGTCTTATGCCATTTCAAACCTTTCAATTAAGTCAATTTGGTTTGCAAGTACCCAGCTTGCTAAGCTTAAATACTAATAATAAATAATACTTGCCATGTTGTCGTTTGATGTTTGACATCATTTATTTAGATTAGTTACAAAACATAAATAAAATCAACAGTTGAATTAGTTACAATTTACAGAGGCTAAATCACCAGCAACATAGTTTATTTCTCAAGGTGTCTCTGCCAAAAATGTCCTTTTATCATTGGTTGTCATTGATGTCATTTTTGGACTCCCCAGGTTTTTGTTGCAATAAGTTTTTACATCGAATAAATCTGACCTGCAACTCTACAGTAAGGTTTACTGTATTATATATCTGCAAAGCTGTTATGGTTCAGAACTGACGTAAGATGTCAGAAATGACACAAAATATTTAAACAAATCTTAAATGACACTGGCCTCTTACGACCCAAAGAGGTACATCAAGGAAGGGGAGTCCCATGTAAAGAGGAATGAAAACCAGTGTTTTCTAGTTTCAAACAACTTGTGATTTAAAATGATAACACAATTTTACAATTTGTACAACCCCATTTCAAAATACAAAAATAATCTTTTAGATAACATTTTGGTAACACTTCAAGGACAAAGCCAGCTTCACATCATGAATCATGATCATTAAGCTGGAACTTGCGGCCAACATGTTAGTTTCAGACATGACACACAGTATCTCACATTCACTATTTGTGAACTACAACTCAGGGACAATGTGGATTTTGTTGAAAAGCAACAAATACAGAAAAAAATGTTATATCCTAGATTATTATTATGCAATTGCAGTTTCTTAACAACCATGACCTTAAGCACAAACCCTTTCTTCATTTTTTAATGTTTTTTTTAAACTGACATTAGCAGTTTTTAACAACTAGTACAACGTCCTGTATTCAGTGGCACACAATCTCTCTATAATAAAACAGAAATGCTGCTTTGACTACATGCTAGTAAATATGCCAAAAAGTGTATTCACACCGGACCATCCTACCCAAAAGTGTGTAAGGACAACTGAAATCAAATGTGCCGTACTATATCAACTGTTGATATATTACTGTGTAAAAATTGAGTAAAAAGCAATAGAATATTTTTGACTAGATTAAACCTTTTGGAGTGTGCAAAAAGCACAGTTATGGCCCACAGTTCAGCATCTGACAGATGCATACACACTGACAGCTTGTGCTCAAAGACTAAAATCTCAAAATTGAAACCAGGATTTTTAAAATTTGCTAAACAGGCATTTAAGGATTGCCCAACAATGTTGGATATCAAACTTTTAGCATTAGTATGTCTATCCTTCCTGTTTAGTTTCTCTACAAACCCAACACATGCGGGCAGAATAAACATTTTCAGTTGGGTACATTGACATCTGAGAGGCTGCTTTGAATGAAAGAAAGAGGTGCAAATTATAATGCAATATACAATTGGACTGTCACAGCTTTGTCACACAGAAAAAAATATAAACACACACTCACATAATTTCAGTTCTTTAAAGGCAACATGGGTTAACCCATAAGGTCATCCCAGATTAAAGTAATAATTGGCAGTTTTTTTCCTTTTCATCTTCATGTGCAGCATGACATCCCGAGTTGTTTTGAAAGCCTATAATACTGAAACCATATTTACTCATGACTGATGAATCATCTCAGTGGGCTTCAAATGTCGGATCCACGAATACACAGTCAAGTCAATTTAGTCATAACATAATGTAGTCTTGGGCTGAGTGTACCCACTAAAAGTAGATGACATATTTAAATGTGCCGTCATGTTATGAATTGATCTAAATGTATGTAACATCACTCGTTAAATTGGACAGTTTTTATGTTACAACGTTAAACATAAAATATAACAAATGAAGCACATGCTGATTATCATTGGGTTTGGTCAAATTGTGGTAATGACGATAGCTAGATAACTTAACCGTGCTCGACAGTGTGACTGCTGATATCTAATCTTTTCCCCAAACATCTTGTGCTGTAGGCCTTCAGTTTGAGAAGATACTGTGCAGATCATGAGAGGATCTTTACTGCATCTAGTTTTTTTTTTTTAATCCATGTGCTTCTTAAAATATATTATGCCTTCCAGACAAATCCATACAATACATGCTGATCAATTTAGATGATCACTACTAATTGCACTTTTATAAATTGATAGTCCTTTTACTTTAAGCACTCGTAAAAATTATCAACAAAAGATCAAATATTTTGTCCTTGTTGTCTGTGCTTCGATCAGGTCCAACTGAGTTTGTCTCAAAACAAAAATGAGAACATTAATTTGTGTAAAATTACATAAAGGGATATGTACTCAGTTAATCCACAAACACTCACTCATAAATGCACACAGTCATACATTTAAGAATTTATACATCTCATCACCCAAACATGTCATGATTCAATAACCCCATCTGCTGTGTTCCATTTTTTACCCTCTTGTCTTTACGTACTAGAAACTATCTTCTCTTACATTCAGGCCCCACCTCATCCAGAAGTTCTGGAAAACATATATTCATTCAATCACAGCTCTGTCATTCATACACATAAACACTCCACATGGATCTGCTTTACGTCCTGATCCACTTTGTATTTCCATCTTGTACACCTTCATACTTTGCCTTGGTTTCATTTCTGTCCCAGAGGAAGAGTAGAGGTTGGGGTTGCTGGGTGAATTTTGGCACTGGAAGGTAGAGCAGCAGTAGAGCATGAGGAGGAAGAGGTGGAAGATGAGGTACAGGAGCTAAATGTCCCCCCAGCAGCAGCAGCAGTAGCAGTGCTATCAGTAGTTGATATGGTGCCACTGCCAGGCAGGAGAGACGCAGCTGTGGACACTGGAGATGAGGGCATTTGGGAAGGCAGCCGTGGTTGGGTTTGAGGGGGCGTGCAGGGCAGCTGGGTGACAGGATGAGTCTGTGGTTGTGACTGAGACTGTAGGGGACTCTCAATCTGAGGCTGCTGTATCTGCTGGCGAAGTGGGGTCTGCTGATAAGTCATCTGCTGGAGGGGGAGGGACTGATGGAGGTGTAAACTTTGCTGCACCGGTTGCACTTGAGCCATGGGTGTTTGTTGTGGTGGTTCCGTGGACTGCAGGTTGGACAGGCTCCCTCCACCTGTGTAATGAGAAGGGGCTACCACAGGCAAGCTGGCAGGGGTCGGGGGTACATGGGGGTTCAGTGGTGCCACAGGAAACCAACTTTGTGAAGGAACCTATATAAAATATAAAGGAAATATCATTTGAATACCTTCTTATAGGAAACAGCTTGTTATTTTTTCAGAAAAAAACAGAAGCAAAATCCAATCTGCTGCATTTACAATAACACATACAATCCACCTAACCATATACACGTTACTTATACTGTTATTGAGGATGTGGATGTTGATATTGTTCCTCAACATAAATACTTGGGAACCGTTATTGATAGCTTTTGAACCCAAGTGGCGACTGTATTTCTTAAGGAAGATGAACACGTTCAAGGTGTGCAATGTCTTAATGACTTTGTGTTTTCCTCATTTGTAGAAAGTGTTTTCACATATTGCACTGTGTCATGGTTTGGTTGTCTTACATTGTCTAGTAAATATAGGCAGCCAAAGCTGGTCAACGTGTTAAGCAAGGTGATTGGGGTACAGCAAGCTCAGCTGAAGGATATCTATAGTAAACATGTCATCAGTAAGGCTGTCCCGACGACCCTCTTTTTGATTAATCTCCTTCCTTCTGGAATGCCTCGAACCAAAAACAAGACATGCCAACGCTTCTTTTATCTCTATGGACACTGAAAAGCTTAATTCTAGCTCAACTTTTCTGGGTTTTGTGTATTTTTTGTGTTTTTTTTTCCAGTTTTAGGTTTTAAACCTTGAATATTCATTGTTTATGTATTCTGATCTAATTTTTTTAGCTTGCACAGTACTTCATTTGACTCAATGCATTTGTATATGCTGTGTCTGAACTGTTTCAGCCTCTGGCTCAGTGTGGTTTAAGTACCTTTGTTTTTCACATGAGCTGTGGACTTTCTGTATGTCTGTATTTCTGATGTTGTCTTTTGTTTATCTGTTGTGTCTTGACTCCTGCAGCAGATCTTATTTCCTTCAGGGTGATAATAAAGTTGAAGTTGATAAATCAGAGATTTTTCTGGATTGGTGTCAAAAATATTACTTAATGTCTAGTCCTACCTCGGTTGACTGGCTCCAGCCTCCCAACTCCTGCACTTGTTGAATCTGCTTAATTTGATTGAGTGAAGGCTTGGGTGGGGAAGGGCCCACTGTCTCCTTTGTCCAATTGTCAACAAGTTTGTGCAGTTCATCAGTGAACGTGCCTTTTCTTAAAGGGCTGTTATCTGTGGAACAAAACAAGAAAAAAAACGAAAATTACACAAGCAGTTTCACATAGAGGAAACAGAGGGATATAAATAAGAAAAATGATTGATTAAAAAGTCTACCAGAGTGTGAAACTCCATTGTTATCCATGTGAGAGTGAGGACGAGTCCGGAGCTTGGTTTTAGCCGGCCTGGGCCTACGAGGAGAGAGGACAGGAGGTGCTGCAGGAAGAGGGGGGGTTCGTGACAAGGAGGCAGGCAGACTCTGCCTTTGGTCTTTGAGAGAACGAAGCTGTCTATACAGCTCCTGCAGTTCCCTGTTCTGCTGAGCCTGGAGGAAAACCACTTCTTTGATGTGCCTATAAAAGAAAAAATACAAAACAGGGAGGAGAAAGTAGTTGGTTAAAATTCTGAACAGAAAATGAAAGCATAAGAGAGAAGTACAAGACTGGAGAAATAAACATATTAATGCAAAAATACAGGCGTTAAATCTTTCCCCTCGCCAACATACTTCTCTCTGAGCTTGTGTAGTTCTTTTCTCAGGTCTTCATCCTCCATCTCACTCTCATCATCACTGCTGCCAAGGGGTGAGTGGCTGTGCCCATGACCTCGAGGCAGGTGAGGCATCGCTGGGGTTCTCTTACTTTCTTCTCTCTCTCCCTCCTTAGCCCGAGATCTCCTCCTCTCCCTCTCCACATAAGTAGACACTGGGGAGCTCTCAGTGTGCCTGTCCTCTTTCTTAGTCTCAGCCTGGGTTACAGAGAAGCGTCCCACTTTCCTGTGGGTGCTACAATGGCCCGTGAGAGCATCCTTCGGAGGACAAGACTGGGGCACAGGAGTCACCTGATGACAGACGAGGTATGACAGATTAGCTGCTTGTCCAGACTGCGATGAAGATTCTGAAAAAGTAGTGTCAAATAGGAATAATTACTATTATCCTGACCTGAAACCTTCCTCTATGTGACTGAGGTGGATTAAAGGATTGTGCCACTTTCTCCTCTCTTAGTGTCTGACTGCTGGAGCGTCCATCTAATAAAGAGATGGGGATGAATAACAAAAAGGGAAGACGAAGAACAGAAACAAGAACACATAGACATAGGTATAGGAACATATAAATAACAGCAAACACACAAAAAATACAGACATAGAAAAACCAACATGACAGAGACAAACATATAAGCACACAGATAGACAAGGGGCAAGAACATAAAGGCACAGTGTTAAAAAACCATCCACCAATGTCATACATCATCAATATTGTGACTTACATGGCTTTCGTGCAGGGTTTATGTACATATTTAAACGTGTTGAGTTTTGTGGCAGTCATTTATCTACTAGACAACAATAAATTGAAAAATAAATGTCAATTTTTACAGATGTCAAAATGCATGCCTAACAGAATCATGTAATGGGCGTGTGGGAAGGGGTGGTAAACAACACAAATAGGTCATCAAATTAAAAAACAACATATTGTGAGATGGCAGTTCAATGTTAACAATTGTGTACCCCCACCCACCCACACATCCACTCTCTCATTCTCTCTCACTGACTCACCATATTCCCACTCATATACCAGACAACAAAGCTCAATAACACATTTGAGATCTGGGCTCAGATCCACAGTGATATTGATTGAAGTGTTTGATATATGGGAATACTACATTAGCAAAGTGTGTACGTGGATAATCATTGTATTATATAAAGCAACACATAAACACACAGCCTCCTTCTACTTACAGGTAATGATCCATTATTAGTCATTCATGAAGAACACAAAATACATGCTCAAGCATGTGCACTTTTAAAAGAAATGTGTCTGCTTCTGCTACACATAAAATCAAACACATGCAAGATGGCATGCCTACCCTTTTACAAAACTGTGAATAAAGCTCAAATTATACACTGAAAACTGGTACTTAGTTCTCAGTCTAGATATTTTGTAAACAAATTTGTAAGAAAAAGTAATCTTTATAAATGCATCTGCTGCAACCACATATAGTAGTTTCTTATGAAGCAATGCTATACTATTTGAGCTGACACAGGAATCCTATATGTATTCCAACACATAATATCAGTTCAGCAACTTAGCACCTATCTGTGTTATGAGTTGACGTGCATGGAGCTTTGCTGTCTATACTCGGCCAGCAGGTGGTGGTGAGGAGATGAGATGGTTGCTGCTGGCAGTGCTTGCAGACTTGGGGAAAAAAGGGGGAGGGAGGGGTGATATATGAAGGAATATGTCCTGGACAAAGGCACAGCTGGGTTTTACTCATCTGCACTGGGATGGGCATCAGATTTCTGATGCCAACCTCTTCCTACACTGTGCCAATCTTCCACCCTTCTCTACTGTTCCCTGTTCTTGCCCACTGCGCGAGTACCCCATGCAAAAAGAAAGATTGCCAAGAAAATTAAATAAATCCAAAAGAAATGTACAAGAGGAAAGCAAAAATAATAATGTACAAGTGACAGCAACACTGATGTTAAATGGAGTCACATTACTATATACAAGATTTATTAGCTGTAAACATGAACCTCTTTTAACATTAACAGGTATTAATCCCTGGTGGTTAGGAAGGTTATTTTAATATGTTAAAACTAGTACTAGGTATTAGATTTAGGTCCATGCCCCAACATCCCATTCTCTCTCTCTTTCGCTCTCTCTCTTGCGTGCTTGCCCGCTCCCTAAAAGGACGCTACCTTCTTGGACTCGGGGCTTCTTGAACAAGCTGGCGGAGTTGCGCAGTTTGCATGCCCAGTTTTTGAATTTGCGAGTCCAGGATTTCTTGCTAACAGGATTTCTGATACTAGGACATGTCAGGTTTAGGCCAAAATATCCACCTCCTGCATTGTGCTTCTGCTGTCCATGCTGGAGGGGTATCGGGTGCTGATTGTGGGACCACGATGCGTCTCCGGTGGTACTGGTGTCAGAGTGTGGGGGTACAGCCTAGAACAGTTAAGAATATTAGGAGTGGCTGCATGGAGTTTAGATGTTCAAAAACTGAGAGGCACTCAAACATTCAAATTGAAAACTAGCACGAACTGACATAAAAAGAACCAATACAGTGAAATAAAGAATGCATTTTAAATCATCTGTTGTATTTACTCACAAGAATAGTTGGTTCTCCTGGTATGGGCGGGCGTTGTGGCCCAGTAGGCTCCTCCTGGTTTGGGGGCATAAGAGAGGTAGGAGGGGTGGACGAGGCAGAGGTGGAGGGGATAGAGGGGCCAGGCTGCTGCTCGACCGGACCAAGCTCCATTAAGTTGGGAAATTCTGAGGAAGCCTCCTCTCTTCCCCCATCCATCTCCGGGTCAGGGGAGGTGGAGGAAGAACGGGAAGTGGTGGAGGAGGTAGTGGAGGATGAGGAGTGAGGGGAGGTATCTGAGGAGGAGGAGGCAGGTGGAGGAAAAGACACGTGGTGAATGGAATGTTGCTCAGATGACTCGTCTCCTCCTGCTGATGTGGAGGCAGCTGCTGTAGGCCCTGAGGCAGCGCCCCCTGCCTGTGCTCCCCCGCTGCTGTACTCCTGATACAACAAGTTCCTTAGCTTTTCATCCAGAGTTTTTATACGGTTGTCTACAAAATCAATTTTGGGGGGTCCTTCACTGTCTGACTCAGCCACAGAGGAAGGCTGGGCAGGGGAGGGTGTCATTGTGTGGGAGAGAGACGGTAACGGGGCGTCAGTGGTGACCAGTTGGAGAGGCGGCAGAGAAGAGTCAGAAGAAGGGTGACAGGTGGCAGTGTAGCTGCACGTGTCTTCAGTGACACTCATCTCTCCTGTGGACACTTCTGACTCTGACATCTGTAAAGATGACTGCTTTTGCAATGGAAACTGCTGCTGTTTCTGAGGTGTGTCAGTGGCTTTAACCACCTCTTGTTGCTGCTCAAAGTTTTGCACCTGTTTCTGTGTCTGTATGTGTTGTTGTGCCAGCTCAGCAGGAATTTGAGCTTGTTGTTGAATGTGCTGTTGTGGTAAAGGGCTAATATTAAGCTGTGCCTGTTGAAGAAACTGTTGACTAACTGACATGGGCAGCATTTGGATTTGATCTGACTGTAAAGCCACAGCAGCACTCATAATCAGCGGCTGTTGCTGCTGTATTTGCTGTTGTACCATTTGCTGTTGCTGTAAATGTATTGTCTGTTGTAGGTTTAACTGTTGCTGCTGATGGGGATCAATTTGGGCCTGCTGTTGTACCTGCTGTAATTGATGCTGTTGCAGCTGTTTATACTGAGCTGCTTGCTGTTGAGGGAGCTGTTGTTGGGCCTGCTGTAGAGACATTGGTGGCAGAAACTGCTGTAGAGGCACAGGATGTTGCAAGAACTCTGTATGACCTGGCAAAGGCAGCACCTGCACCTCAGTCAGCTGTTGTTGAGGTGGCATTTGTGTCTGCATTAGTTGCTGATGCTCTGACTGCTGGAGCAACGGTTGCAGTGCTTGTCCCTGTTGCACCTGAAGTTGTTCTTGGAACCCTTGCTGTTGTTGCACTGGTGTTGCCATTTGTATCTGCTGTACCTGTTGCTCAAATTGCAGCTGCTGTTGCACTGCTGGTAGCTTCTGCTGTAATGCAGGCTGTAGCCGTGGTTGTGGTTGTTGCTGTGGTTGTGGTGGGGCCAGTTTGGCTACTTGGGTGAGGGTCTGCTGTTGCTCCAAACAAAGTTGGCTTAGTGCAGAGGAGGTCACTGTAGCAGCAGTAGGAGGGGAATTAACAGAGGTCGTAGACTGGTCCAGTGTAGACACACATGGCCTTTGAGCAGTTTTCACTGCATCCCCCATACACTGACCAACAGTGGAGCAATTGTTGTTACTCGGTGTAGTGAAAGTATCTTGCAGAATGGTGTTGGTTGTAGGAGATACAACAGCAGGAGCAGTGGAAAAGGTGGGAAGGTTAACAGGAGCAGGTATTGCTATGGATGAGGGAGCACATGGAATTTTGTCAGCAGAGGCTGAGGTGAGAACTGGCCTTTCAAAACCAACTGAAGCAGTGACAGGGATAGAAGCTTCAAGTGTGGATGCTGGTGCAGAGATGCTTTCGGAAGAAGCAGTGTTAAGAGCAGGGGCAGCGGTAACTGAGGGGGCCATGGAAGCAGGGGCTGAGACAGTTGAGACTGGAGGGGAGGTGGCTGAAAGAGTGGTGCAAGGGGGAGAGGCCATTCCTGTCAAAGACTCCAGGCTTTGCAATCCTTCACTTTCTACAGCTGCAGAAAGGAACACGCTGTTAGTCTCTGTTATATTGCCAAGTCAAGTATGTTGTTAATGATATGTTAATAAGCTACAGCAGTGACATTGACTTTTGTGTGGTTCACCTTTCTCTGCTCTTGGAGATTGAAGTATCCTTGCCTCTGAAGTGGGTGGTGTTGTGGCTGCTCCCTGGCCAGATAGAGAGTCTCTATGTCTGATGGTCTGGTTGATAAAGAAGCGCCAGCGTCCCACTGGGGAGGAGTGGGGGACTGCATCCACTAAAAATCACAAACATATTTTATAAGTTTAGTGAGTTATAGACTAAATAGCATTTAATCACTCTGCAGTTTCACTTTTTAGAGAATATTTTAGTAACCCACTTGTTGAGCTAGTTGGAGTGCTCACATGCAGCTGGTCAGTTGATCCAGTCTGACAAAGAAATACAACAAAAATTGAGCTAATAATAAATACTGGGCATAATGATTATTTATCAAAAACAGATATAGGCTAGAGGAGAGGGTGATGGATGGAAAAACTATGGAAATCAACATACCTGGGAATGCATTTGGAGGAGTTCATGCGCTTTCTTGACAATGGCCCTAAGCTGTTCCACAAATTTCTCTTTCTCAACATCAAGAACAAAGTCTTCCTCCACCTACACACAAAAAGCAACCAAACAACATTTATATTGACAAAGTATGATTACTTTTTAGTAACAAATGCTGGCTAAGGTGATACGAAGCAGTCAACCATGTAATCCGCTATGTCCTCAGGTGCATCCCCTTCGATGTCAAATTTAAATGTCACCATCTTGTTGCTATGGGTCTCTAACTGGCATTCCACCATGTTGTCCCCACTGCCGGACACCTTAAAGGACAAGACAGATAACAGTACTTTGAGTTTTTAAAACGCCAAAGAAGTGTTTAGCAGTATTAGTTGCTATTCATTTCTTTCACCTGAAGCATGCTCAGTTGGAACTGATGTGCAACTTTATCAGGTCTTTGACAGGAAGCTCTTCTTTGAGTCTTCAATTTCTCTATCTTCCCATTGGCCAAGATCTGAAGAGATTCTTCGCCATTAGCAGGAACAGACCTGTTGGTGGTAAGGTGGTAGGATGGTTATTCACTCTATTTACCTGACTATTTCCATTGCTTGGTTTCCAGATTATCTGTGTTACTGTGCTTCATTACTCTGGACTGACCTGCAAACCTGCCTGCCTATTTCTTGTTATCCATTTCTGTGAATACTTATCTACTCTTCCATGCCTGCAAGTCACTCAATTTAAAATACATTTCACAAGTCTGCAATCCTTTGCTTGGGTCCTACTTTCCTGACTCCTGGACCTCAGTCAGTCCCCCGATGAGGCTCAGCTTGACTCTGACCACCAGTTGTTTGTACCATTTAAAGCACTATTCCAATTCTACAATTCCAAGTTGTCGGTATTGCCAATTAAACAAATAAAAAACATTTTTTGGGCCACTTTGTCCTTTTAATGTATTGAACTTGGAGCAAGTAAGTCCAATAAAAAATGGAAATGGACATGTTTTAGCATGACGCTAACTAAGTTAAGACTTTTAAAATCTACACTCTTGTTCCTTGTTTACAAGCATAGAGCTTACAAACTTTAGACATTAATGATATTAGACATACCCCAAAGAAGAATGATGTTCTGTACTTGATAAGTATGGACCATCCTGTAGAGTGACATGAACATAGACAAAAAGGTACATTTTTACATTTAATACCACAAAACTATCAAGAAATATAGTTGTGTTTTACAAGAAAAACGTGTTAGTTTCAATCAAAAAGTCACACAGTTGATTTCATAGTATTAGAAGCACTTTAAAGAATCATTATGCCAATATGTTAGCAAAGTAAAACAAATAATTCTTAATTAAGCAATTTTAATGCTTATTGTACCTGAGCAATGCCCAGCAGGGAAAGGTCACAGTCTTGCAGCAAGCCTTGGGGAAGTTTGGGGGCATTAGAATCAAGCGTTTGTAGAGTAGTGACAGGTGGAGGGGAGGTGGGTACAAGGTCTGCCTGCCCTGGAAAGGTTGCCTTGGTTGCTGGAGGAGATAAAGGCAGCTCTGGCACAGGGGTAGCAGCAGGATAGTGGGATGGTAGGGATGGTAGGGTTGTTCGGGTACATGAGTTATGAGAAGGGCTAAGAGGCATCTGTTGCACAGTAAAGATAGCATTGGGTGGAACTGGCTGTTCTGCAAACGGTATCTCAGTGTGCGTCTGAGTGTGAGAATGAGCCTGAATGAGTGTCTGTGTTTGGGAGTGTGCTTGGGCCTGACTGCTTGTTTGTGTGTGTGTGTGGGCTGGCAGGATCTGCTTGGCTTGGTGTTTTGGAGACAGAGGGGCACCTGCCGTAAGATGACTACTGAGGGGCAGAGTCTGTGAATGAGTCACAGCCACATTATAAGGGACTCTTGGTGCAGCAGGATGATTCAGCAGATTTGAGGCAGGTGAACACTGTTGGGGCATCTGACTCTTCTCCAACGGTATTACAGCCTGATTAGGAGAAAATGTTGGTTGGATTGGACTTTGTGTTGGCTGTGACAGCAACTGAGCGTGTGGAGGAGTTGAAGCGAGTGGTTGCTGTACTTCAGAAAGCTTCTGTAGCGGTCTCTGGTATTGCCCAGTACACTGAGGCAAAGAAGGTTGGGAAATAGGCTGTATGACTGAAGAGTCAGGAGTGCTTATTAGAGGCTGCTGCTGCTGGGCCTGAACAACTGAATGTGGTGTTGTTTGACCTGCAATAAAGGCGGGTACAGTCTGCTGCACAAGATGGGAAGTGCCAATACGGGTTGCAGGGTCAACTACAGAACTAAGATCATCTGTTGTTGTTCCAACACTTCCAGCTGGGCCAGAAGACAGGGTCATCCTCTGATACTGCAGTACTGGCTCCTGTTGCTGCTGTGGCTGCATGATAAGAGTTATATCCTGTTGTACAGATGGGCCGGCTTGTTGGGCAAGCTGAGGAACACAATGAGGAGCTAAAATGGCAGTGGCAACCTGAGCATGCATCTGGATTGGGGGCTGGCCTTGATTTTGTTGTTGGCCCTTGAGCTGCATCGGCCCTGTCAATTTAGCATTTTGATGAACATGAGTCTCTTGATTGGTCTGAATAGAGGTTATTGTAGCTGGAGACTGGACAGCAGATTGGCTTTGTTGGCCAATCATTTGAATGTCAATCATTTGGCCTTGACCATGTGGTGTTGGGACCTGCCTTAGTGATGGGGGTAGAGACTGAATCTGGACTGATGGTTGAGGAGCTACTTGGCTCTGTGTGGGAGTTACAGGTCCTTGATAACTTGCCTGTAAAGGAACATGCTGGGTCTGGTTGGCCTGTGTCTGTCCCTGGATCACTGTTGCTGGAGGAGTTACTTGGGCATCAATCAAAGCCTGAGCTGCTGGAACATTGGTCTGGTCCTGGGGATGAGCCTCACCTCGTCCCTGCTGGGTAAAGACTTTAGCTTGAACAACACCACACATCTGGTCAGGGATCTGCGTAGTCCGAGGGGCCATGGAGGCCTGGGCTTGTGAGACAATTTGAGTTTGGTGCTGGAGCACCTGAGTACCTGGAGGTCCAACTGGGATTTGAGTTTCCAGAACAGAAGTGTGATGCTGCTGGGTGGGTGCTGCTTGCTGTTGGTGCTCCAGCACCTGCTGCGGTGTGAGCATGGTAGTAGAAGTAAACTGAGTGGCATTTAGCTGTGGGATACAAGTGCGCTGTATATCAGTTGGTTGCTCCTGTATCTGCTTCTCACTGTTATTTTTTTGAATGGGGGCAATATCCTGAAGTTTCATGATCGCAGCTTGTTGCTGCTGATCTTGAATCTGTTGCTGTATCAGAGCCTGATGCTGCATTCTCTCTGCTTGTTGTTGTTGTAAGAGTACTTGTTGCTGATGCTGTTGTTCTAATTGTTGCTGCAAAAGAGCTTGCTGCTGCTGTTCTATCTGCTGCATGAGTTGCACCTGTTGCTGCTCTTGTTGCTGTTGCTGTAGCTGAGCTTTCTGTTGTAGCTGCTGCTTTTGTAAAATAGCTTGCTGTTGCAAATGTTGATGTAATAGTGCTTGTTGCTGTTGTTGTTCTAAATGTCGAAGAAGGGCTTGCTGATGTAATTGTTGTTCTTGTTGCTGTTGACTCAGCTGGGGTTGCTGCTGCAGTACAGTTTGTTGCTGCTGGTGCCCACTTAGCTGTTGCTTCTCTGGTTCATTTTGTATTCCAGTTTGTTGATATAACTGGCTCTGCTGCTGTTGCTGTAAAGGAAGGTGTTGTTGATGCTGCTCTAACTGATGTTGTAAACAGGCTTGTTGTGACTGCTGTTGTTGTAGAAGACCTTGTTGTTGCTGCTGTTGCTCTTGCTGTTTAATAAGTACCTGCTGCTGTTGTTGATCCATCAATTGCTTGTGTAGAAGTACTTGCTGCTGTTCCAGTTGATGCTGCTGCAGTGTGGCCTGCTGCTGCTGAAGCAAAGCTTTTTGTTGCTGCTGATCAAGCTGTTGCTGGACATACGTCTGATGCTGCTCTGGCGCTAAGGTTTCTTGTTGTTGCAGAGTTTGCTGTTGCTGAAGCTGTTGTTGCAGTCGTTGAGATTGTATTATGTTCTGCTCACAAGTATCCCCTGTTGGTTGCTGTTTGTAAGTCAGAGGTTGCTCCCCTGTTTGTGGTAATTGTAAAGCTTGCTGCTCCATACCTGTTTGTGTAGGTAAAACGTGCTGCTGAGGAAACGGCTGTTGTACGTAGGTCTGCTGCGGATGCTCATGCTGATGTTTCTGGACAGCTGCAGCTGAAGTGTTGTGTTGATGTTGATCTGTTGCTGGCTGAGTTGCCCTAACTTGTTGATGATCAAGCAGTGTGCCCTGGGCATCCATTTGCTGTTGTGGTTGTTGCTGCTGAAGGGTGGAGGTATGGGGATCCATCCCTATCTGTTGTTGTGTGACAATAGTCTGCTGAGGGATCATGACAGGCTGTGTTTGCTGGGGTGCTGCCTGGGGAATGATGTCAGTGAGCTGCATGGGCGTGACAGGGGGTTGGGTCTGCTGAGCGAGAGGCACAACAGACCCTACTAGTCCAGCAGGATCACCCACTGACATGGATGTAGTGAGGACATTAAAAGGAACTTGTGGGGAAACAGGGGGCATGTATGTATGTGATGGGGCCAATGAGCTGTGGGGAGTGGCTGTTTGAAATGCATCTGATGGGAATGTTTGTGACTGCATGTTCATAATGACATAAAGATGATTGGTGATGAATGGATAGAGGATGATAATGACAGAAAGATGATTGGATAGAGAATGAAAAGAAAGCAGTAGAAAAAAAAAGGTAAGAATAAGCTTTGGCAAATCAGTTATAAACACATTAAGTTTTATACAGCAGGGTGTCCCACAGGGTTCAATAGCAGGGGTGGGCTGCATCACCAAAATACAGTTTATTTAATAAAAGAGGCTTGTTGACCACATCATCTTCCATCTCTGCTTAAAACTTCCCTGGGGGAAACCCTGAACAGCAAACAGGTAGATTCAATCTCAAAGGTTAATTAGGGTAATTTGGTGTTGGATAAAAAGTTGTTTGAAGAAAGAGAATCCAAACTATGACAGTAGTGGGAGCAGCTTTAAATTGATTATCAATCATGTTGAATGGTGTAGATAATAGTATGTTCACTCTTTTCACCTGGTAGTATTGTTGTGGGACACTCTGAGATACCTGTGGAACCATGGTAACAGGCTGAAGAAATGTCTGACCAACAGGTCCTCCTCCACTGTGCCCTATGGACATGCTGGATATGCTAACTCTCTGGCCAATAGGCACACTGGAGACACTTCCGCTCTCACCAATTGGATGCATATGAGGATGAGCCAATGCACCAGTGCTCTGTAGTGTAAGGAAATGGGTAAAGAACAGTGCAGTTTAGGAAGGCAGGTGTTTAAAATGATGAGTAATTGATCTGTTTGGTGTTATTCATGAATAATAGGGGTGAGACTTGCAGGGTCACAAGCAATTCTGTGATAAATGTTATACTGTAGGACAATCATGTAAGGATACATCACAATATCTGATTAACTGAAGAATACAAAATGCCCATTAATAGGTAAAATGCAGGATGTATTAACAGAAATTTAGTGTTAGTCTCACCTCTTATGAGGATTCATATTTTCTAACCGCTGGACATTATCATGCTATATACTTCCTCTTACAATTCTGTCCAATTTACCCTTATTCATGTCATAATTGCCACCTTGATCTGATATTTGTAACACATGATTCAGGCTAACGGTATTTTGCCAAGTGCATGAATTAAGTTAAAATAATGCATTGACGTACAGATGCTGTAGGGGGCAGAGTTATCTGGGAGTGTGCATATGCTTCTCCTTGCTGAGAGTACGCCTGGCTCTGTCCACTTGCATAAGATTCACAGCTGGCAGACCCAATGCTCTCGCCTGCTGAGTGATTGACAAATAACAAAATTATGAATGTTAAGTCACATTGTTCACTAGACCTTTATCATTTGTGTATTCTTCCACCATGTTAATTATAAAGCAATGATGGTCTAATACCTAAGTTGCATGCTTACCTGGAAGACTAAGTGCTGCCCCGCTGAAAATGTGTTGCTGCCTGACATGCTGGTCTACTTCAGGCAGCTCCTCACCTTCTTGCCCTCCTAGTCCTCCTCCACCTCCTGTTTGTCCAGCCGTCACTGGCCCCAGTGAGGACACACAGGAAGGATGAGAGAAGGTGTAGGAGGGGAGAGTGGAGTCTCTTCTTTCTTCATAGCCCTGCTGCTGCTGCTGGAGGAGCTGCTGCTGCCGTCGCTCCCGTGACTTTTTGATCAGATTAACTCTGTCCCGGATGGATTTTCCCACCAGCTTGGCATCACTCTCATGAAAGAATCCTGACTTTACCTTAGAGAGAGAGAGAGCAAGAAAGAGCACTACCAATGAGTAGAGGTAGGTTAAAGTAAATCTAGGTCAGAAGGAGGTACCATGAAAAAGCTGATAAATGAGCAGAAGAATTTCCCTAACCTGATTTATCTTCAAGTTTTCAGAACCTTTCCCTATCCCATATCCAGAAGCCATAAACCCTGCTTTGTACTGGTTAGATGTAAATTGTCTCTGTCTCACCATCTCTAGAGCCACTTCCTCAGCGCTGTCATTCTCTAGGTCATAACTGAACTCGATAGCCTCGTTGTCTTTGTGCTTCCCCTTCAACTTTTTCGGCTCTTCAACCCAAATCCGCAGAGCCAGGCAGTCCTGTGTGCCTGTGTCCTCCTCTGCCAGTTCCACCCGGACCCCTGTGTCCTCTCCGAAGAATGCATGGTTCAGGAGGTCTCGGATGGAGAGTCTGTCAAAGGAAGGGCAACACAAGGAACAGGTATATATGGCTGACTGATAAGGAATTATGCATGTCACAGTGCAGTTTATCCCTTAAAGACAGTAAAACCTGCTTACCTCTGGCTCTTGTTCTGACGAATGCAACCTTCGATGATCTCTTTGATCTCTGGGTCATTAACTTTATCAAAGCTGGCTGGCTTTATCCCCTGCAGAGAAGAAGTGTGTTAGATTTGAGGATTTTTTTCATACAATTGTTGAAGTTATTTACAGCGTGCAGTCTAATAGTTAGGATCGCACTACTTTAAAAATTAGGGCTGCATACATTACATTTCCTTTGTTATGCAGTCAAGGGGACTTACACTTGTGACTTTGCGATAGATCTGAGCCGCATTTTGGCACTCTGAGTAGGGGTACTCTGATGTTGCCATCTCCAGCATGCACATCCCAAATGCGTAAACATCCACAGACTCATCATAGTGCTCTTCATACATCTCTGGAGCCATGAACTCTGGGGTTCCTGTTTGGACCACATGGAGGATTAAAGTCAATAAAAAGCAGAATCAAAGTCCCAAATGGTCCGACACCTCTATGAGTATTTAAAATCTGTGTTTAACATCACAGAGAAATTCACAAAGAAGATCCAAACATCACGTACTTAGATTACTTATAAAACTTACATTTTATGTTATTTCTTCCAGTAATATGTTCTTGCTTCCTGGGTTAAACTTAACTGAGCTAAATGGTACTCAGTGCACAGCTTAAGTTGGCTTACAGAGCCAACATTCTCATAAGAGGTCTATGTTTACATTAAGTGCTGTCCATATGGATTTGAGTGTGACTCTACAAATTATAATCTTTACTCCTAGGCACCAGAGGCTCTTAAAAGCTTTAAAATGCTGATGCAAAACGAGAGTATATTCATAGGCCCTTTCACAGTTTGCTAATGTAGGTACTAGATTCCTGGCATTATTCTCCAAAGCAGATGGTCTAATTATTGAGCCTACCTATGACACTCTTGGCAAAGGAGGTCCTCATAAGAGTTGCCAGCCCTAGGTCACCTATCTTCACTGAGCCTGTGGGGCCTGTTATGAAGATGTTGTCACATTTGAGGTCCCGGTGGACTATCGGAGGAGTCCTGGTATGAAGGAAGTGAAGGCCCTTCAGAATTTGACGACACCAGCTCCTCAGGACTTTGGGTTTCATCACCTTGAAGCGTTTCAGGTAACTGTGTAGACAGAGCAAAAGCCTGATTATGTAATGAAACTAATAGTTCAATTGTTATTAACCACTAATAGACAGGTAGATTAAATCCACTATAGCTAAAACAACATTGTAAATTGATTTCAATTTCAATGTATAATGAGTAAATTGATCACTTTCAATATGACGTTGTTAATAATGACATTACAGTGATTAGATTCAAATGCTTCCAAATAAAGATTTGTATGTATTGGTTAAAGTGTTTATATTTTCAAAGCATGTAAAGTGTTACACTTACTCACACAAATAGGAAATCAATCTCCCATCAGTACTTCATAATGAAGCTTAGAGTTATTTAATCTTATAGTTTAGGGAAGATTGAGCAGCTCTTCTAAATATTTACTGAACTATGAAACCATGTGTTCATGAACAACAATGAAGACAGGTCCACAACTACTGGTTTGCAATGTTGCCTAAATGTACTGTAGATATTTGCACTTCAGTTAGAGAAAACATCTTTACATTTCGGCACTACTTTACCTTACTTACCAAGAAATACAGTGTTGTATATTAAGTCAATCCAGACTAACTTTCTAAAATATTTATTTTAATACAAATGGAAAAACACCATGGAGCCGTGTCTGAGTGATCACAGTAAATAATTGTTAGGAGAAGGTTGTGCTTACGTTTTAAGTGTTCCTGAAGTCATGAGCTCAGTGACTAGTACGATGCACTTCTTGCCGCGGAGCACAGACTCCCAAGAATCATAGAAGCGGACGATGTTAGGGTGTTGTAACCCCTTCAGCATCTCAGCCTCCTCTTTGAAGCGTTGTTGCTCCGCCTTGGTCAGTTTGCGGTCCTGAGGAGAGAAATGCACACAAGGTAAATGGTAAGGCACTGCTAACACTTTTCTCACTTATAGATCTAAATAGCCTTTCCCATACACATAATACTATCAGACACTATTCAATTAAGGTCCACGAATTGTGCACGAGTACTGCTCTGCAATTCTGCTCATTCATTTTTCTGACACCGCACAGCCACCAATGAGTTCATTAACACCTGCTGCCACTAGATGGTACTAGCAATACAGACATGCAGCACTGCTGAGACAACACCCAAGCCTTATATTTATAAAACACATTTAACTGCACCTGCCTCATATCTTCAGCATAGCAGACCAAGTGGATGCAGCAGAAATCTACTTCAAAGGTACAGACAGCATGTCAAAGGAACAGAGGTAACAATCAGAAAGAATAACACTGTGTTAAACATTGTTACACAGGTTTTTTATAAGAACTAATACCCATGTATGCTGTGCAGTAAATATGTTCTGTTGTACAGTTAAAAAAATGAATTTCTTGTATTATTTGTGTATGTTTATGTATTCCTTTGTTTTCAGTTTTCTTACAGTTAATCAGTTTTCTTGAATATTGTGTAGCGTACTCAGCCAAGATATCTCCATTTGTTTTATTCTATGGATATCAAGTCACAGGGAAATTGCATCAATGATGAATTTAGAATGTTTTAAGAATGCACGGACATCACTTGATGTCACTTAAAGGTAGAAATAGAAGACCAAAAGAAGTAATTGCCAATGGCAATATTAACTTCATGTCAAAGCAAGTGGTAAGAGATGACAGAAACTGTGTGTTTCACTTAATAATAGAGTCCATAGGCAGCCAGTGCCTGTCACAAACTATAAATAGAAGTCTTCATAACACTGACTTTTCCACAGATCGATTCCATTGATGTTGAGCTCAACACAAAGCTTGCCAAAGAAGATGTTTGGATAAATAAACATTATCTATGCCTCCCCTATGAGTCTGTCTCTCATTTTTACACTTCACTCTCTGAGTCTAAACTGGTTCAGTGTCCTTTTCTGGAAGTACTAGTACAGGCAATCTCTCCAACCCTCCTCTCTCAACAGGAATGTAGTATTATCAACAAAAGGCTGCTACTCTTAGCTCTATTAAGGCTAACAATAAGTTGCCCATTCTAGATCTACCCTCATGCTCTCATTCCTGTGATACCAACCACAACAGATTTTAAGACACATGCATGCCAATGCACCTGCGTGAGTGTGTGGAGGTGTGTCTTATCATCTTAATGATGACTGTCAGTACAGAAATATCTAAATGCGTCTTCTCTCTGGATTTATTTTTTAATTGATGTTGGCTCAGTTTTGGTGCGTCTGTTCTCCTCACTCAGAGCTTTACTCTGCCTCACTGTCTGGAACAGTTTGGGACAGGCTGTGTCTCTGTCTGCTGCCTCCTCAGCGTCTATTGTATCTCCCTCTGAGTGTGGCATCAGACAGCCTTAGGGTGGGCAAAGTTCAGATAGAGTTCAGCTAGGCAGATTCTGTCTAGATGGACTCACAAAAAAACCCTACCCTATCCATCCGCATAGCACTCATTACAGGCCCCAGAGATCCATTTCACACAAACAGAGGCACAACAAAAACATGACGATACACGCTCTTCAAGTATGTAACAGTCCTCTTTTCATTGCCAAGACTGCGTAACACACCCCAACACTGCTGTCAAGTCATCACTCATACTGAACTATGTAATAAAAAGGGACACACCTGTCTCTTCACCAATAGATAAATGGGAATAGGGAAATGAAAGAAAAACATAAAATGCAGAGAAGTTGCTGTTCATGAGAGCATGACAAAGCCTGATGGTCTTTCTTCCTCTAAATTAACCTGGCAGTTTTTTGTTTCTCCATTTCTGCAACCCTACACAGACAAATACCTATGGTGTTTAGACACATACCTTAGTTAAAAAAAGACACAAAATTTGCTGAAACGATATAGATTATATTATAAAAATGAATGCCAATCATATATTTACATATACTACTTGGTTATTACTTTGTACATAAAAGTTGAATGACAGCCAGCAATTATATTCCTACCAAAAAAATAAAACAAAGATGAAGTTGGTTGTCTAACCTGCCCATACTGCACTTGGCTACTTCCTACTCAGCTTTTATTAAATGCTAATATCCATTGTCCACTTGTGTGTGTCAATTGAGTCACATCAAAGACAACTTCCAATTAACATGTAATTTTTTTCTGACTGTATTAAACAAGAACACCAGAAAAAATCAATACGGTCCGGGAAATGAATGATGCTCACTTGTTTGAATCTGTTGATTTTATCTCTATGGCACCTTTTGAGACTGTATTTAAGTGCTCTGTTGTAATATATTGAACTATAGTGATTTTTTTTAGTTCTATTTTGGCTAGGGTTGGTGAACAAACTCTGGACAAACTTTAAAAAAACATTTTGATCCAGTCTAAGCAAATATTTAACACAGGTAGTTTCAAAATATAATTTATTCCTTTATATCAATTGCAGAGAAACTGTAATCATATACATAAACTATTGGTGTTCATGCTACTTTTTCCAGACATAAAAACACTCAGGTCATATAATGTGAAGTCACGTTTCACCTCCCTGCCATGGCCTTAGTCCTTTAACTTGGTAAACAGAGTAAGACCTAAGACCTGGTTGTTCACCATGAGTTCTTTTTTGGATCAGACATCTGGTGGAGCAGAAGGTCAAGCAGCAGCTTAAGTAGCCTCATAAAACAGGAAATGGACAGGATATGTTTGGTAGATTGTAAATGGTCAATGGACTTGAGCTTCAATAGCGCTTTTCTAGTCTTTCGATTAGTCAAAGCGCTTTTTATGGTAGAAGGCTGGGGTCATGAGCCTCAAAGCACGTGCGCCCTAAAACATCTACTTTGGCAAACACTGAGTATCAGATAGCAGATGCCCTGCATGACATGTGAGGGACTGGATTCCCTTCTCGTCTGAAAGAGGAGTGTGTCTCAGATACAGTGGGATCAACACTGCAGTAGAAAACAGAAAGGTGCGTCTTATTCTTACTGTAGGTATTATTTATAAGGGTGTGTGTGTAGAGTGCAGGACTCTGAAAGCATGTCAGTGTTTGAAAATCTGGGGTGGCGGGTGGCTAGGATTAGATTAGTGTAAGCTATAACAGATCAGACTAACAAGATAAATTTCTGGTTAAGGGCTGGCCCTCACGCTGGATTAGAACCCCAGGCCAGTAGGCCAAGTTCAAAAAAAGACCTCTAGCCAATGCACTGCACAAGCCATGTTTTTCAAGATGACAGCAGTTAGCATGATGTCAAAGTATCTCCCTGTTAATTGCTACAGCATCTGTTGTACACAAGCAGCAACCTTCAGTGTTGAAAAATGAAGCCAATGTGGAAGTACAAAATCCTGCAGTTCGTCGAGGGTCGGCCTGAGGCTGACTCCAAGAGCCCCCAAAGTGACATACACACTTCATTCAAAAAAGCATGTTTTAACAGCAGATATTAACATGTTTACAGCCTGGTACAAACATCGATATTGGTCTGATTAGTTATTGTCCTCATGGGCACACACTGTACAGGGGTGATTTTTTTGTAAACGCATCCGTTTTGATTTTATGAACAATACGCGTTGTCCATAGTTAGGCGCAAGGCTGACCTGATTGACAGGTGCTGGAAGTGATGCATCGGTTTGTCAAGAGGCTTATAGCGCTCATCAGGGGTACAGGTTCCAGCCTGTCGTTAGGTTTACTGAAAGTTAGGCTGACTGAAAGTTAGGCTGAGACAGGATTTCCAGCATAATGGCGGCTGTTGCGATGAGCCTCCGGAGCCCCCTGCAGTAATAGATGGGTGACGTCACTCAGGCATCACCCATTAATATTTACAGTCCATTGTTTTTACACTGTGGCAAAGGCAACATTGGTGCCACATTGTCTAGCTAGCCACAAAACCTCTGTTAGGGTAGATCCCATAAACCCCATGTGAATACAATACCTGTCTTTGTATGGAATGGTCTGCAAGGTTCACTAATGAACATTAATAATGCCATACAAATTCTTACAATCTGACCAAGAGAGCTTCCCTGTGCTTAAAGATAACACTCATATAACAATTATTTTATTACAGAATATATATATATATATATATATCAGATTTATTATTTTGATTTGGCCACATGGCTTCTGCCAATGGTTATGGTGCAAACCATTGATTCGTAATCTCCCATTGAATTGATGGTTAGCTTGTGTGGCTACAGCCTGAGGGAAACTTGCCAACTCTCAGTGTCCTAGTTGAGAATGTGGCTGGTCAGTATGGTTGGATTGATTCCATCCCGGTCTAGTCCGTTACGCTGTAGTCCATTTAATGTTGCCTCTCCTAATTTGGATCACCCATCAATAGTCTGTCTTTGCTTTACCTGGTCTGACCAGACTGCTCTTTCATAACCTGAAGGGGGTTTAAAAAAACAATGTTTCCATTACTGAATTAATGTAAAATGGTTAAAGGGAGCTAAAACATGTAGGTTTGCTTTATGGATTGACTAATAGAACAGGGAATCTTTTGCTTTACTATTTTGCAATTGTGTAAAAAAACATTCTGAAACAACTGAGATAATTGTCAACTCCTCTCTTGTTCCTGTTTGTTTAACATTGACAAAGACATAGGACCAGATTGTTTCTATCAATGAATAGGAAAACAGCTATTTTTCTGACCAGAAGAAACTGGCAACGACCACAGAACATCTCTCAACATTGCAAATTGCTCAATTCAAATTCAGATGCAAACAAAGTGTCCAAATTCTGTTTCACAGGCCAAGCTCACTGAACTATAATGTCAATGTTTACTAAATCATGAGACAGTCTTCATAAGCATTACAAAAATAATTGTTTAAAAGTGAGCCTTCTAAGCTGTCGTATACTGTATCTTTCAATATAAATTCAAGAGGCTCTATAACTACAAATCACACCCCAATAGTTAAGTAGGTAATCATGGGAACCTCCAATGTTCAGGACCTTAGATCTGTTCTGGTTTATCTGTTTTTTTGTATTCATGAGAGTCTGGCACAGCTGAGCAGAGCTGAGCTGGACCAGTCTGGGATAACTGGGTTGAACCAGTCTGGTTTCTGCTGCCCGAGTTATGCTGTCTGTGCAGGGTTTTTGTTCCAGCCTCACAGGCACCCACTGTAATTAACTCCCCTGGATCACTCTGCATGCTCACTCACACAGACAAAAAAGTGATGGAGGGAGAAATTGAGGGAGGCTAAGAGAGGAAGGGTGAGAGTCTGACACATACAGTGGCACATGTTGACACAGACGAACAGAGAGCAACAGCTTTCATGATGAAATATAATAAATGTACAAGGCACATACAAACATATTCTCTAAAGGTGACAAGGGGTAAAATTGCTATCATGGGAGATGCACTGCTCTGTCCTTTTAGGGATGGAATTCCCAGGGAAAGGGAAAGGAAATAAGAGCGATGGTGTCCGCACTGTGAACTTTAATTACACACTCTTTCAAGCTGCATTTGGACAGCTAATCCCCTGGCTTCCCTCTCTTTGTGGACACAGGAGGAGAGGAGCTAGGTGCTCCCAGGCTGCAGTCTCACAGGATAGCAGCATTTTACATTAAATATTTAGTATCTTATCCCATCTCACATTTTCTGGTAAACGGTGCATTAATTTTATTGACCTTCCCTTATAATAAATAGTTTGAATTCAAGTTTTTTGTGTTTGTGTCCAACAACAGCATTACATGTTAATACTTGTGTCAACTCCATTATAAATAACCCAGTAAGCTGATCATATTAAATCATATTGTTCTGATAACTATAGTTAATTCTAATGCAACTTATTAATTTGCAATGAACCGATGTATGCTTTGGTTTGATTGACTAAATAGGACAGATCACGTGACCTGGCTGACTACAATGTTTCCTTGAATGCAGCACTGAATTCATTTAAAGACCTGTGACCTGGTAGCTGTGTAGTGTCTGTGCGTGCATGTGTGTTTATTTATGTCCATGTGTCTCCCTGCATGTGGTAAGTTAGCATTAGCTAGGCGGCTGCTCTCTGGGAGGGATGCCATGGTAATCCTCTGTTTGGCTGCTCGTCTCCCCCTCTGTCTCTCTCTTTCAATCACCATTACCTCCTGTGTCTTTCTCTTTTTCTTCTCACACTCTGCCCTACTTTCTTATTATTTCTGTTGCTCCTTTTTAAAAAATCCCAGTCTGTATTGGTCTTAAGAGGCTGTCTTTCTATTTACACAATGTGTGTTTCCTGCCGCTTCATCAACAAATAACCCCTAAAACAAATTTTCATGTATAAACAAGACTTTGATGATGCATTTATAGTGACCAAATTCAATATGGGCAAACTCATCATTTTACGCATTCTGACTTTTCTTTTTTAAAATTGCTTTACCAGCAAAAGGAACAACAGATCGGTGCCTTTGCTGGTGTCAGGAAATAATGCTGTCTGGTGGCATGACATTAATATATTTATGATAGCATTATTATCAAAGGTGAAACAGAACACCTTTGCAAACAGAGCGTATCAAGTATTTAAGTGGGACTGAACAGGAGCTCTTCCAATATAATATACAGAGCTGCTTATGTGAAGCTGAATCACCTGTGAAGAAAAAGGTGACGGGGAAGAACCTGCTGCTTGTTAGTCCAACAGACAGAGCTTGATCTTAAGGATTAGTCTGGGCTTCTGTTTTGGAATAAGCTTCAAACCAAACACATGACTGACTTTTCTCACACAAAGCCGGCAGTCAAATCTGACGGCTTACCATAACACTGCTCTCTATTGAGGGGCCAAGAGTCAGAGGGATGCATTTCTCTTCTCCTCCACAAGTGTGTCTCCCTCCCACCACATGTTGAAATCCCAACATCTAACAATGTTTCCCATTACTCCTCATGATAAATCTGGCTGTATTTATTGTGTAACGACTTGGAACAGTGCTTGGTTGTAGGTCATTTATAAAAATTCATGATCATCTTCCCACTGCAATGTCACTGCATGACAGAGAGTTTCTTACAGTAATGTTTGCAGTCGTTACACCTACATTTTCTACAGTTTTCCTTATTGCTCTGTGCTCAGAAAATGCATCCCATTCAGAGCTTCAGAGTGTAACTATTTCCAATTCATACCTCATATCTGCACATAATAGACAAGAGAAAGCAGAGACATGTACTATAGCAAGCCCTACATAATGTTTTTTGTACATAATGGGCTACTTGATGAGTGATAAAATTAGCTTCTTTGAGAAGCTGATTTATTTGTTCTTCAACTATCAAGATGTTTCTTTCCTGATATAAATTATATAAATAATGCAATCAATTGAACAAATATTCCCCCTCATATAACGAGTGAATTCCTATAATTCAGGCTAATACAAAGAAAGCCTCCTCTTATAGGATACCCTCGCACGATATGAAGAAGCGCTGGCAGCCGTGATTCTATTATTTATAACAGTCCTAGAAAAGGCAAAGCCTCCACTTTCACTTTGTGCTGTCATTCAACTACAAGCGATGCTCCTCCGTTTCACCTCTGTCTTCACTGAATTGCAGACTGGCTGTATGAAAAGCAAGCAGACAACGTGCAGAGATTTCTAGATTTCAATAGAAAAGCTCCTGGCACACATCTAATGTGATTCAATTTTTCAAAGAGCAACGTTGAGCTTAAAAGCTCCCCAAAGCCAGAGATTGAAAACAACTAATAATTGATATAAAGTATTAACCTCTGATGATTCTGTACACATATTGGATTATTTCAATCCATAAATTAGTTGGGCTTTTTTGTAAATATTTCAGTTTATTGTTATATAAAACGCAGAGCTAAAATTTAAGTATGGTTGAATATCTGGCATCACATAAAGTAAAAGGTTGAAAAGCTTGTCTTACCTGAAGTTCACACCAAGCCACCTCCACCCAGGTCTCTGTGTCTAGGCCTTTGTATACTGTCTTGAAGGCTCCTCTGCCCAGTTCAATGTCAAATTTGAGGAACCTGCCTCCAGGAGACGTCGCCACAGCCTTCATTTCTGCCTCCTCCTCCAGCTCACGGTCCCTCTCTTTCCCCCTCTGGATGAGTGCAGTGGAAGAGGCATCCTTGCCAGGCTCCTGGCTGGAGCTGGGGCAGGATGGGTCATGGCCCATTGCAGCACAGGATGAAGCAGCTCCTTGCTGCGTGGCACTGCTGGTGAAGACTGAGTCTGAGGAGCGCAGCTCCAGATGGGGGGCACTGTGGGGTGCCTCAGGAGGCACCTCCACCTCATCGTCCTGCTCACAAATCTCCACACTCTTCCTGAAGAAGCGCTTCTCCCTCCTCAGTCGTTTCTGGCCAGAGTCTACTATTAAGGACGGCGTGGAGAATGAAATCTGTCTGTCTGGGTTGTCCTCAGCCGCCTTACTGGCTTCCCCTCCTCCTCCCCCTTGGATTACTCCATCCTCTCCCAGTTTCCTCTCCTGAGTCTGGGAGGAGGGGAAGTCCGACGGGGTACTGTGTGTCCTTTCCCTCTGTTGGTCGGCCCTGCCCTCTCGCTCTGCATCCTCCTCCATCCGTCCATCAGGTTTCTCCGAGGTGTCCCCGGTACCTGTTGGCTCTCCTGGGTCAGTTGCCATAGGGAATGGCTTCTCCCACTCTTCCTCCTGGACCTCCTCCTCCTCCAAACCTTTGCTCCTCCGTCAGTCCCCGTCTCTCCCTCTTTCTGTGGTCACCCACTCACCCTTGCCAGTGTGTCGGGTTTCCTTCCAGAGCTGCGGGTGACCGTCTCTGTTCAAACTGATGACCCTATCCCACTTTTCCTCCAATCTGCCTCTCCCCGTCTCCTTTATGAGTTAGTGTTTAATGGCACAGGAGGGTGAGACCACAGTTGTAAGAAAACTGTTTCTTTCTTCATGTTCCTCCTCACCATTTCCTACATTTTCTTTAGACCCCACTTTTGTGAAGTACTAATCAAAGTCAACTAAATATCTCACAGCTCTTACAAACAAACACTAAAGTGGGAGTTTTTTTCAAGCCTGTTTGGAAAACTGCAGGGATTTTCTTTCTAACTGTTGTATGAAGATCCTCAGGTAAACCCTGCAAGACAAAAGAGACATTGCATTAATATTGAGACAGTCAGGGAGGGGGAGTCATTGCTCTGTTGTTGCCAAATCTTTCGAAAGAATGGAGCTGGGATAATTTATAATCATCTGAAACAACAGTTACAGGATCCCTGGACTTCAGAGGGACATAACAGGCAAACATTGATGAATCCGATTAACAGGGAATCCCCAAACACCTTTCTAAGAAAATATGTCATAAGGGCCTCATATGTCTGTGTAAATTGAACAAGATTGGATATGAAGCTATAAAACATATCACTAAAAGAAAATGTTACTGATGTAACAGCTCTTTCTTGTAGTGCAAATCACAGCTCATTCTTGCAAAGAGAAACTCTTGAGGATGTGAAATGTTGATTTCCTGTTAAACCTCAATTAAAGCATTTATCCAATTAAGCTTGAGAGATTGCAAAACGTTGCAAACATTAATGGTGTACAAACTGAAGTGCTCCATAATTGGTACAAAGTTTCTAGCAATCAGATACAGGGGACAACTTCAGAAAGTACAAACATCCGTAAATGATGTTTTTCCACAGCCACTTGGCAAAGTGACCTGAGGTAATTAGTTGGTCAATGTAACTCAAACTCAGATGTGAAATCGTTGTACCCTTATAGGGTAAAAATATCAAAAACGGAGAGCATATTTGCTAAAGTTTGACATTCAAACCAAAGAGTCCTCAAATAGTATCCAGTCAGCCTAGTCAAGAATTAAACATGGCTTCATCAAACTCCAAGTGCATGTTTATCAGCGTCTTGTGCCTGAAGTTGAGTTCAATAGCTCTATTAGTCAACAGAAAGCTTCTGTAGAGAGTACACGATACCTACATTCAATATTAATGATAAACTATGGGCCAATGGAGTGTGAATAATTCATACTCAGAATGATTGTCCAACTATGCTTGAGAGACGACAACACATCTTCAACTAAGAGCTCATAAATATCCACAACTTTGATTATGATTATGATCCACAGACAGTATTACTCAGTGCATGCCAAGTCAAGCATTCAGGCAGGGTGATAATAGACAGTTTTAAATAGGCCCTCGGTGTTATCCTCTGCCAGCACAGGGTGAAACTGAACACAGCTGGTGTCCTCTGACATGGCATGGTGTCTTCCCTGCAATGCTGTAATTCATTCACTGTGTTTGTTTTTGTGTGTATGTGAAGGAGTGTGTGTACACCAATGGGCATCTTTCAGATAACATATTTAGCTCCACTTCTCCTCTATCACTCCTGATCTGGCCCCAAGTATTATATCTCCTCTGCCATCTGACAGCCAATGATGTTTTAATCAAGATACCAGCCATCCTGAAGTTACTCTGGAGCATGTATCTAACTGTGGTTATATGACATAATTCTAAATGGCTCCTGTTGTTTCAAAAAACATTGTTTCTGTGCAGCACAGGCCCAGTTTGTCCTCTGAGCTGCACGGTAGATGTGGAAGTAGGAAGAGTGTTGTTGTTGTTGTCATCTCTGAAATAACCAATACATATTTTTGCTTCTGGCAAATTTGCAAATCAACTATGTGTGCATACTGACACCTGATGTATCAGACTGTGTACGCAAGTTTACTTTGGCACGCAATGATGTTACTAATGTGAACACAGACCAGTGGGGGGAGGGGAAGGGGAAGGCAATCGTGCTCAGGTACAGTACGATCAATTGTGCCTAATGTGAAACGCTCTAGGAGATGGCGCTGGGCTTCCAATAAAGGTTGCATTAAAGCTCAGAGTCGACATTTATGATTATATTTTCAGCAACTCAAATTGCCGGAATTGGGCATGCAAATGCAAACCAACAACCGAAGCTTCACTGAAGAAGTGAGTGATGTGTTGTGATCTATAAATGGAAGAAAAAGTACAGTCTGGGTCAGAATATTAACTCACTTTTCATATGAGTTTACAACTCAACACATTACATTGCTAACTGAACAGGGAGGACTCTTATGGGCCACTGTATTCACCCGCCCCCTCTACAGTTACAGCACGCTACGATCTGAAGCTCATCGTCAAGGAGCACACATGTGCAGTCTCTTTGGCTCACTGAAATTTGTTCTTCTCTGACAGATGCCGGGCTCAGTCAAAGTCACAGCAGCAGGTCTAGACCTTTTTTTTCAACTTTAATGAACAAAGCCCACCATGACCACTGGGTGCTCATAGGGGCTCTCAGAAGCTGTTATCTCTTTTATAACACAGTCATTAACACTTTACATCAAGCCTGTTGTCTTTCCTGCTCAAATGGGAGGACTCTAACATGCAATGCCAGAAGCTGTCAGTCAAACTGAAAACACAATAGGCAGATATTAGACCAACTGCTAAGAGGCTCTTGAAGAACAAGGGAGACTTCCAGTTGGGCGACATTCCCAAGACACAGACACATGCTCTGAGAAATAAGCAGTAATTAGCATTTCATGAACTTAATTATTGACTTCACAATTGGCATGAAAATGCTTTAAACTCAACCACACAGCATTTCTGATGCGTGGTTCATTCCACATCAACTATTGTGTGAATTGTCATATAGCAATTACGTATGCAACAACCTGATTGCAACAATAGGGTGTGACTAATGTTGTTTTCTGGGGGATTTTTCAATCGGTCTATAAATAGATTAAGTATATTAACACTTATTTTATCATCAAAAAATGATAAGATAATGATTTTCCATATTTTTCAAACCAAGATCGAAAAATACAATGATGTACATTTTAAATTGATAAAAATATACACAGAAAGAGCAGCAAATCCTCACATTTGATGGAGATGATAAAACCAGTTAAACACTTTATATCTATTGGTTCAAAACAATATTCAATTCATTATTATTTAAAATGTCTCCACTTGCAATCAACATATCATTTCAGCCCTGCAAACCACAGAGAATAAATGTATTATATGAGAGTTTGAGCATGAGCATAACTAAAGAAAATTATCTGAGCCATAGCAGGCTAGGGGGGACATACTGTAGTATACAGTGAGTTTAAAAGGTAAAGGCTAACAGGATGTGGGGACAAAAAAAAATGGGGGGGGGGGGAGACAGGCAATAAAGAGAGGGAAGTTGCCCTTTAGGCAGGAGCTTATTCGCCCATGTCCCCAGGGTAAGGAGTTCCCATGGAAGCCACATACCGGACAGAGTTATCACAGCACATCAAACATGTTCAACCCCATCCCTGTCTCTCACACCCGCCCAGTCTCCCTCCAAACACACACAGATATAGATATGAGACACGCACCAATAGGCTAGTACAACCTTTGTGTTGCACTTTTTGTCTTCTGTCCCTCTAGCACTTATTCCATATTTATACAAGAGACAAAAACATACAAACATTAAAAGCATTAAAGGCAAACACTCCCGCAGCCTAACAACATTAGCTTTCACTGGAAGAATGCTGAAAGGAATTTTCTTGGCAGCAGCCAAATGACCAAGCAATGAGTGCTCTTAAATTAAAACAACACAACCAATGTTGCATTTGCAATGTTGACACCCCTCTTCAGCACCAGAATGACCCCAGCTTGCAGCGTACATCAGGTTCACATGTCAGAATCATTGTCTGCTCATTTCTCTATCAGTGTTGGAGTGCATGAGAAGCAAAGATCTGATGCACTGCACTCTGCCTGCCCTGCAGGCTTCTGCTGAGAACACCTGCAGCTGCCTAATCATTTCTGAAATGTGCAATGAAAATCATAGAGGCACGTTTTTCTTTTTTCATGACTGCCAAAGATGTGATTTCTAATCTATTCTAGTCTCAAAACCCAATGAAAGCCATATTTGATTTTTCTGTAGAACTTTTTGTTATCTGTGCTCAAAGTTTTGAGATGAGGAGAGGAAACGAAGCTCTAAATCACATACACTCACTTTTTCAAAACAAGGTGTGCACAAAGAAGCCTCTCTTCTCTTACGCAACCTATAACTTTAATAAATATAAATATTGCAACCCCATCTTTCTATTGTACTTTTTTTATCCTTAACTTCATGGGGATACACACATTAATCCACAGGAACCCAACTGCTATTGGAAAATTTGGCAGGTAGACAAAGGAAGAGCGAGGGCATGTGTGTGTGTGTGTGTGTCTTTTTTGCAATCGAGGGGGATGTGTAGATGAAAAGAGTGTATGAAAAGTGGTGAGGGGGACAGGAAGGGATTGTAGTTGATGGGAGCAGGCAGACAGCAGAGGTTCAAACAGAGAGAGAGACAGAGAGAGAGAGAGAGAGAGAGGGAAGGAGGGATGGAGGGATGGAGGGATGGAGCGAGGGGGCCGGCTAGTAGAAGGGGTGGGAAAAATGTGTGTGTGAAAGAGAACAAGAGAGAGATAAAGAGAGCGGGTGGCACAGACAAAAGGGGGCTGGGGGGATTTTGCCTGATAAAATATGTGCCAATGTTTGTGTGAATGAAAGCAGTGACTATAGCTAAATTTTTGCACGGGACAACAGCAGCTACAGTTGTGTGTGGACTTAATGGAGATGAGGAAGATGAGTAGAGAGGAAGAGTAGGAATACTTAAGTCTTTGGAGAAAGGGTGGAAAACATGAGGTGACTACATTAGCATAGAAACAGTTTCCATTGGAATGTCCAGTGTCACAGGAAACAGGGTGCAGAGGGCTAAGGGGGAGCAGGGTGAAGGGCTGTGCAGAACCTTTAACAGTAAGACGCTCCTGTTGCATTAATAACACCCCCCAGAAAAAATGTTTTAAATGAAGCTCTAAAGAAGATTAAATTAATCAATGTAAAAAAAAACCATCAGTTTATTTTACAATTCTTATTTTAAATTTAAATGATACTGAATTGATTCAGTTTTGTGTTTTG